GGAAAGCCCTCCAAGCTGTTCCCACCTTCTCGCACCTGGACCTGGGGCAGGGGGCAGGGGACAGGCAAGAGCCAACTGGCAGCCCCAGCTCTCTGTTCCTGGTGTGGGTCCCAGCCTTGTCCTTGCCATCAACCCCAGGCTGTAGCTCCTAAGAGGATGGGGCAAAGGAGGAGGAAGGAAAGCTAGGACCGACTGATAGACAAACTACCCTTTCCAAAGTATGTCCACTTCCTTTGTCAATTGATATTCACTCATCACAACCCCCTGCCCGCAAGGTTAACAAGGCAAGTATTATTTCCATCTCACAGAGGAGGCAGGGGAGGCCTGAGACTCACTGATGATCACACCACTAGTAAATGGCAGCATCCAAGCCCGAGTCCTGTGCTCTGCCTCCCATCTAGTGCTCTCCACTCTGATGGGCTATAGGCTAGAAAATCCAGGTGGGGAGGGAAGCTCAGGCCAGCTGCTCTAGAATCATAATCTGTGTGTTGGGTCTGATGCTGCCAGCTGCTCCAGGGTCTCTGCTCTCAAGGAGTTAGAATCTTGGGAAGAAGAGAAAGGCTGGGAAATAATTAGAGCACAAAGAATGGAGACATGTGAGGTCTAGGGGTTGGAGAGGCCATGGGAAAGCTTTTTGCACAGAGAGCTCTGGAAACAGGCTCGAAAGATGTGGATGCTTTCAATCACAAGTAGAAGAAACTCAATTCAAATCCACTTGAACAGTAGAAAAAGGAAGTGACTGGTTCATCCAGGTGTTCACACAGTGGTATTGGAAGGTCCTTCTCTGGGCTGTCCCAGCATACTCGCCTTAGGGGTGGCAGCTCCCAGCTTGTACTCTTAAGGCCCAGAAACCCCACTGGCAAGAGAAAATATGTTATCTCATTAGGTCAGAAGAAAGTTCCAGGATGGAGTCACGTTGGGCCAACATGAATAGTATGTCAGACCCCAGGTCTGGAGAGGGTGGACATGGGGCAAACATTGCCCATGACAGGTGAGTGGGGGGAACAGGAGGGGGCATATTTCATCCTGTAGAAGCTGACCAGAGGAGATCAGCCTGGTGGAGCTGTGGGCAGGAAGCAGGAGGTCTGGTGGACCCAGTGACCTGAGACTTGATCCTGAGGGGATGGAGTGTGGTGACAGGGTCCTATCAGGCATGGGTGATTGAGGAAACTGGAAATTTGACTTTGAATCTGCTTACCAGCTATTGACCTTGGGCAAGACATTTAAAAAATTCGAGCCTCAGTGTCTTCACCTGAAAACTGGGCATAGTACTATCTACTATGAGTTACTGTAGGGAGTGAGATGACATATTTCAAACACATAGCATGTGGTTGGTGGTCAGCAAGGCATTGGGACAGGGCATTTGGGTTCACAGAGCACTTTCACCAACTTCTCACTCCTCACAACAGCTCTGAGAGTTCTCTGGGGATGGAGAGAGGGGGATTAAGCAGGTTACAGCTACGTGGCCAAAGTCATGAAGCTGGAAGGTGACAGAACCAACATGTGTATTTGGGTCAAATCCTGAGCGGGTGCCATGACACCATGCTAAGTGGATAAAGCTGTTGAGGAGGTATATGTCACCCAGAGTGCCCTCATAGATTAAGGATGGGCCCTATTTGGTCCTCCTTTCCTGTGGAGCCCAGCACTGACATCTACCCCAAGCAGCCTCTTAACACCTTAGTCCAAGTGAGCCCCAGCTGAGCAGATGAGGAATCCTCTCCTTGCTTTCTCTTAGAACTTTCCGGCTTCTAGAGGCACCCTTTGTTTCTCTGCTCCAGTCTTGGGCAGGTAGAATTACTGTCCACACTCAGCACAACTTAGCCTGGTCTGTCCATTCAAGCCCACCAATCCCTGGAGACACTGATGAAATGGTCCCTTGGGCCCAGAACAAGTCTGTACCCAGCATTCAAGAGGCAGATTTCCCAAGATCAAGGTTTTCTATGGTATGACCAGGCCTCTTCCCATTGCCATCCAGCAGTGAAATATTCTCTTTGGCTGCAGGAGTGTTCTGTCTTACTGTCTGTCCATCTTCTGGTCTATCTCAGCTAGGATCGGGCTTGGCTTTGAATTATAAAGATCCCACTTAACAAAAGCAAAAGATCTATTGCTCTCATAAAAGTCCCGAGGCAGCTAGTCCAAAGCCAATACAAAGGTTTTATGCAGTCTTCAGATACCTAGGCTCCTTCTAACTCGTGGCTCCACCATTCTGCCCTCATGGTCCAAGATGGCAACCAGAATTCCAGCAATCACAATTGCATTCCGGGCAGCAAGAAGAAGGAAGGAAAAAGAAGGGGCCAATGATAAGTGTCAGTTTACTTTTAAGAACACATGACACTTTTACTTGGTCACATAGTCACATCTAGCTGCAAGGGAGTCTGGGATAGTCTTAAATTCCGGGTAGCCAAGTTCCAAGCTAAAAATTTGGGGCTCGTTATAGAGGAAAAGGGGAGAATGGACATTGGGGATAACTATCTCTGACACCCAATCCATTCAATAAGCATTTTATTGGGTATTCCTTGTACTTATCCATGTTATAGTATTAATAATATGAATAATACCTTAGCATCTAATGAGCTGACCAGTGCCTGGCATTTAGTAGGTGTTTATTGGGCAGCGGCCATTATTTTCACTGCGTCAGAGAGCTGATAAAAGCACAAGCTTCTGTGAGGGTGGAGAGAAGGCTGCCTGCCTGGCAAGGGAGCAGAACATAGAAAGGCATCCTGGAGGAGGTCTCACCTGGGAATGTAGAGGTCTTTCTTTTCATTGACCCTAGAGAGCTGGGGTGGTTGACTGTAGCCATTTCAGAACTTTATTTTACCTCCTCCATCCTATCCTATCTCGACCTTCTCTGGAGAACAACTCTGATAACATCCTCACCAAAGTGCTGGTGACGATAATAGCTAAGCACAGTGCTCTCCAGGGTGGAAAGTGCAATGATATGTCAGAGAATTATGGCATTAGTTAAGTGAGGGGGCTAGTTCTGAAGGCCTTGGAATCTTCCTGAAGCCCTAGAATACTCATACGATTCCTTCTGAAATTAGAAAATAACAATACACATGATCTAAAATGCCCTCGTTTGACAGAATGGGAGTAGCAGGTGCTTGGTGCCCTTCCAAGGTGCTCCAAAGAAAGAGGGGCCAACCCCTGCCCTCCGGGGACATCCCTCAATCCACCTGGCAAGATAAGGAGGAAGCTGAGAGCTCGACTGCATGGCCCTCCTTGGACTCCTGGAGGTGCAGGAACCTGGGCGGTCGGTGCGTGCTCAATCTCCCCTCCTTGCCTCTACCCTTCAGGGACTGTGAAGAGCAAGCTGCTGCTGGCCGACTCCCCACTCTGGGTCTGGGAAAGCAAGCTACTAGTCTTCCCTGAGCACCACTGTGTGATGGGCCTGTGCCCATGGGACGAAGAGAGCTCAGTTCCTGTGCAGGGTCCCTTTCCCCATGGTTCTTTGAAACTCCCTCCATCCCTGGCCTGGAGAGCCAGACAGCACTTCCTCCGGGAAGCCCTCGCTGACTTCCCTTGCCTCAATGTTCCCACAGCCCTCCATTGGAGCTCAGAATTTCCACTGCTGCTTATTTATCTGTCCCCCGCCCTTGGCTGATCCCTTTTAGTGCTCCAGCCCAGGTCTCTCTTGATATATACCCTGTGCCTCACACATAATATGAGCTCAGTAGCTATGCATCAACTAATGAATGTGTGAGTGAGTGAATGAGTGAGTGAATTCCTTGGCTGCTAGGGTATAGATTCCCCCAGTGAGGAGTGGAAGACCCGAAAGGGTTAACCGGGAGCCTGCCTGTGGTCTGAGGTAAGCAGGGAGCGTATTTGTTCAGGTAAATAAGGAAGGATTACTTATAATGGGAAATCAGGCCCAGCCAACTCTTCATCCCACAGACTTCCTCCCAGCACATTCCTGCACTCCACCTGCGTCCACACTGCTCCACAGACCCAGACCCTGTGTCTTGAGCCCACCTCAGCCCCTCTGTAAGCCCCTCTGGGTCTTGCCACAGTGCCAGCAAGTGGCCCTGGGCTGGGGGCTGGGGGCTCCCTACAAGCCACGCAACCCTGAGACCTCAGAGGGCCACCCCTCGAGGGTGGCCAGGCCCCCGGCGGCCCACACGAGTGCCACCTTTGCCTCCAGCCCTGCTGGTCCCTGATCCCACTAGCTCCCCAGATGCCTGGCTGAGACCCAGCAGTGGTTCAAACTGCCCCCGCCTCCTCCTGGCCCCTGAGGTTGCCACTGCCACAGGCGACTCCTTGGACACCAGGCAGCTAACGGGTAAGTCCAGTGGGAAGCACCCAGTGCCCTTCACAGGGCTTTCTCCTGACAGCTGGTGGGGAGGTAGGTGACTGAAAAGACTTAAGAGGTGTACTTTGCAAGCTCAGAACTGATCTGCCAGGCACCAGCGACCCTGTGATCTAGGTCCTTGACCCTCAGAAGCCCTTGTCTCTCCGCAAGCTTCCCAGTCTGCCTCCCTGGGCCAACTTCAGAGCCTGGGTGAGTCCCCTTGGCCTGGCAAGGCCCAGGTGCCCCGTATCTGTGATAGTCACCATCCAGGCTCCATACTGAGCCTAGCCTGCTCGGCCTGAGAGTGGCAGCCCTGTAGATGTGGAGCCTTAGCCCTGAGACCAGGCCCGTTCTGCTTGGCTAGCAAAACATAAGCAGTCTTTCTGCTATTGCCAGCGGTGGCTACTTGGCCAAGGGAAGGGTCTCTCTGGGGCCGGACCACAAGTGGGCAGGGGCTTGTTGGGGCCTAGAGACTCAGGGCCTGGGTCCAGGTTGGAGCAGGGGATACAGGCCCAGAGCCCAGGGATCAAGCAGAGCAGTGGTGGCACAGGAATCAGGTGGTCAGGGGGCTATGGAGCCAACCACCTGGCTGCATGGATACCCAAAGAAGCAGACAACCCATGGGTCCTAGTGTTGGCACTCTAGGAAAGAAACAGGGATCCTTGAAGGTGCTCATTTCTAAGATTTGCCAGATGCCTCCTGTGGGGAGACTGAGAAGGAAGCAGTAAGCAGTAAGCGGATGACAGAGTGGAAAGCTGAAGGGTCTGGATGGCTGAGAACTTCTCTGAGGCTAGACACTGTGTATGCATGTGTATGTGTATGTGTATGTAGATGAGGATGTGCATGTGCATGTATGTGTGTCTGTGCACGGTGGGGAGTGGGCAGGCCCACTGAGCTAGCCCTGGATCCCCTCACCTCACTCTGCCACCTGGGCTCACCCAGCAGCCCATACCCAGGCCATAAACCTCGATGGTCTGTCCCCTGTATGGAGATCATGGCCTTTCACCACCTCCTTGGCCAGGGCTGGGACTTGGCCTCATTTCCTGCCCCTACCTCCCCAATAAACAGCTTCATAGCACCGCCCCCCCCCCAATAAAACGGCATCTCCCCAGCACCAGCTGCTCAGCTGAGTAACAAAGCAAACAGGCACCCGAGCAGTCACGTCTGAGGTGGCAGGCAGGGATGGGCAGGAGATGCCGCACCAGACAGCTAGGCCCAGGCCATGACCCAGCCCAGCGGGGCCAGTCCTGCTTGACCCCTGCCCACCTGTGAGAAGGGCCAGAGCCAGAGACTCCCAGCTTAGAGTCTGGCCACCCCAAACTCACAGAAATTTGGGGACAAAATGCATCCTCAGGGCTTCCTGGAAGGTTGGGTTGTGGAGGAGGTAGTCTCTCACAGGATAAGGGACCACCCTTCCCTTTGAGAGCCTGACAATGAATGGACAAGTGCTTGCTCTGCTCCAGGCACTGTGGCGAAACCCAGAGCTGAAAACTTAGTCCCTATCAGATACGTTTATTGTGTTATCAATTACAAAACACTTCAGCAGATAAGATTTCACAAGGACACTCTGAATTAGATAGAGTTGCTCTGTCAACCAAGCCTGAGGGAATAAGTGGCACCCAGTAGGTGCTCAACTGATGCTCAGAAATTGTGATACTGGCAGTAAGTAAAAGAACCTAGGAGAATCCACTTTTTACCACTAAGGTCGTTGCAGACATAAAGTTAATAGCCCTGAAACAGTTAGAGCTATTAACAAACAGTTTTGTGCTAAACAACTCGGTGCAGCTTGGCTGTAACCCAGGGAAGTCAGTTCAAGCTGACCTGGGGACAAAGACCCTCTGGATGGAAGGCAAGAAGGAATGTGTGACTCTGGGAAAATCACTTTTCCTCCCTGCACTTGCAGCTCCTTGTCTGAGTGATGAAAAGGTTAGGCGAGGTGGCCTCCTCTGTTAAAAGAGTCTTCATGGAAGCGACAACCTGGAGTCGGGTTCTATATAGTTGGTGGAGGTGGCCGCTGGCTGGATCTGCCAGCTTTGCAAGACTTGTGTGACTTTCTGACCTGTCTTGACGCTGAGGTCAGGGTAGATGAGTGGCTCTGGCTCTGACTCCTCAGAGAGGTCGGGGGGCGGGGCGGGGACTGTGAGACCAGCAGCTGCCCTGGACTGGGCAAGAGAGAAGGATGACCTCAGGGCAAGGCCAGGCCTCCCACACCACCATCTTCAACTCGCCCCCACACTCCACCCTTTGTCTCTAGCCCTCCACCCACCATCACCACCCAGTTCTTCCTTTGTTCTCATTCCATACGCCATTACCTTTCCCTTCCCTCTTCTCCGGCCCCATCCTCTCACCTGCTCCCAGGTGCCACCTTCATGCATGCTCAGCCTATATATAATTCACAGGGAATTTCTATCTACCTTCTCCCTCAATCTTCACAACACCTTTAAGACATGCTGTTGAGAGCCCATTTAACAGATGAGACAACTGAGTCACAGGAAGCCCAGTCACTTGCCCCAGTCCCAGAGCTAGAGAGCAGGGAGTCGGGGCTCAAACCTGCTCTAGGACCCTCCCCCTGCCCCCACTCCTCACTCCCATCCTATTTCATGCCCCACCCCGAGCCCCCGGCCAAGCAAGTGGCCTGTCAGGTAGAACAACTCTTCCCAAAGCAAACTTTGCACAAGCTGAGTTGCCCTGGGCTCTTCCTGACATTTAATGCCTGGCTCCTTCCCCCTGATTCGTTTGCATGTTCCCAGCCCAGGAGGCGCCCCTGCCAGATTCTCCTCTCCCACTTCTCAGGGGCTGAGTGGGGCTTCCAGACTAGGAGAGGGTGAACCTCCTTCTCCCTCAGAACTCTCAGCCGGGAACCTTAGTGTGACTGCGGGGGGCCAGACAGGCTGGAGCCCACCCAAGATTGTAGAAAGAGTGCCACTTGCCACCGGAATGGAAGTGCCCCTTCTTTCTCCCTCCAGCTCTGGGATTGAGGAGAGAGGTCTGGGGGTGACTGACTGTCCAGGATCCCAATAACCCCTTCATAGCCCACCCTTTGTCATTTAAACCTTTTTTTGAAGCAATTTCTGTTCTTAGTCTCTTAGGACAGTTTATTCTGGACTTTTATCATGTTCTGTAACGTTGAAGTGCCTTCACTTTGTCCTAACACTTCCTTTCCAAGCCTCAAAGTGTGCTCTCTGGCCCCCTGTTTGGGGCTCAAGTCACGTTTTTTTCCCCTCAGCGCTGTCAAGATTGTACAGATTCATCCTTCGGTTTATGACGCACTCTGTGTGCCTTTCCAGCTCTGTGCTGGGCCTGAGATGGATGAATAGGGATAAGAGCAACCAATGTGTTACACACACACCTCTTGGGAAATTGAACCATCTGTTCACATCATTGTCCTGCTTTGTCGTGACAAACCCCAGAGACACAACTGTCTTTATGAGTCCTCATTTCACCGATGAGAAGCCTGAGGCCAAGAGGATCGACCAAAATGCCACAGGCAGAGAAGCCAGGCGAAATCCATGTGTTCTCACACCTTCAACAGCCAGGCTTCCCAGCTGGGGCAGAAGCGTGGGGAACAAGATGGCCACAAAACCTCAAAGCCATGTTGGGTATCAAGTGTTGGAAGGGGTGCTATAGATGAGGTTCTG